AGACCAAAATGTTTGTGTGATAAAGAGTGAACGCAAAAATAGCCAACAAATATGATAAACAGCTAATAAAATATCCAATGAATATGGTTTGTCTGTTCTGTTTGTTCAAATTTATTATCTTACATTGATTTGTTATCATATCGATCACCTTATCTTTTTTTATTGTCTGCTTAGCCGATATTCTTCAGGTACGCTTCACTTGCATGTTGTGTTCACGGGAGCGTCTATGAATCATCGCCTTGAATTCCTCTTGCGATTCTCTATTCGTGACACTTGATTTGAATGGTTCATGGGTAATGCTTCTACACTTTGTTAGTAGAATGAATATTCTAAAACAGGAAACGATGAGATCGTTAACTGCTGAATGCATCAACACTTACGTACAGAACCAACAGCTTACTGCTCACGCAAGAGTCTGTTTACAATTGCTCGCTTACTGATATTGCTTGTGAACGTCACTTCATGTGATATGATTTTAAAAAAAAATTCTTTACTCTGAGAGCCATCCGCTATCCTTTCGAACAGTCGTCGTAAAGAGGGACAGTCACAACTGAACATTTAACACTTAGCTGCTCATACGTGACAATCATAATATTTATGATCATCGAATGATGTAATCATGCTTCAAAAAACGTATTGTAAAGGCGGCAAACTATTTTTTCAGAAACATTGTGTTCATTTCATTGAATTTCACAACTTCACTGCTTTTGGAGAAGCATGTGTGATCGATTTTGATTTTACTCANTGACACTGTCCTCAGGTTTGCTCCAAGCACTGTCTTCACAGCAATGGGATTTCCAGATTTCCCGAGTCCAAAATTCTTGTGGAGTCCGGCACGAACCCATGATCTGGATGTGCCCTCAAAAGTGGACTATACGAGAGATCGATGATCTAAACAGTCGATAAAATCTTGTCTGTGGCTGTTTACGAACACATTGAACACTTCGTTGAGACATTCCATACACATTGCTCCTCTTCTAAACCATATGCCTTAATGATGTTTTTTCTTAATGATTATTTTTCTAATTCATTAGGAATTTTTTCCATTGTTTTGAATTCGAGAAGTGTGCGTTGAACGTACTGAAAAAGGAGAATGATCAGGGAATAATATGGTTCTCCAAAGAGAATCTTTTTGTTTGAAAATAGCAATAGATAAGTTGACGTCAAACAGATGTTCGTTAAATGAGACAACATTACTGCCGTTAAACTCAATAAATGTGTTCTACAATTGTCTTATCTTAAGCGGTCATCATTTTGATGCATCGCATCAAGCAATTTATCTGGTTTTCCTGTTTACTATACGGAGAAGCATTCCAGAGGCATCAAATGAATATCTTGAAAGCTCATCTGAAAATGAGGTGAACCTTCATCGCTGTCTGAAGAATTCCGTTAAGAGATTTCAAAGGAGCTTCCTCATCGTTTGACTGTATTTCACATTAATTGCAGAGCTTTTTTTTGCGCTGAACTCGAACTAACATCGAATTCTCTCGTTATGTTCGAGGAGATATTTGAAAACACAACAGTTTGCAAAAAGTAATATAATTGGAAATTCATTTTATTATTTCTTTGTTTGAAACAGCATATAAAAATCTGTATAAATTTTTTCACTGGAATTCTCTCCCTAGACTGCATTTCAATGCCGTTAGCGCAAAGCAGTTCAACTGCTCTGTCCTGACCTTATATTCTCAAACACTGTTCAGTTATCCCCGATTTGCTGAGAATGTTCTTCCGAATCTTCTCAATTCGTCTCTAATAGTCATTTTCAACCGTTTCCTTAGCGAAGATGTGCATGCTGCGGTGAAATGTGCCTGATTCCTATTCAGTATTTGGAGCCGCATTTGAATTACATGTTGAGCAAATCGCAAAGCTATACAATGCTCTCGAAGAATCAGTGTTCTGCGATTCATTCGTTTCATCAATCGTAGCTGATCCACTCATCTAGCCTCGTTTGATTTACGCATCTTCTGGATCCATTCTGAATATCGTCATTAATGTTGTCTTGAGTCTACACATCTGCGCTATCGGAGGCTGCTCATTCTCGGTAATATTTTGATCATTACTCAATATTGCATCAATCCTACGCATAAAATGAGGTAATTCAGTGTGGGCGCTGCAGAGAGGCGCCCGCATTGATTTACCTACAGGAAAGATTCCACAGAAAAGTTTCGGTGAGAATCGGATGAAAGGAATTCTCATCACGCCGCTGAAGTTTTCCGCTTTTTTTGCAAAAATTGCCACGCTCCTTCTGTTGTTTCATATTTTTAACGATAAATGTTCGAATGTTCGAGAGTTGTCAATGACATAATTGCTGCTATGCACATATATGTGTTCAAATGTTCATTCGATAGTCGTTTTATCGTGTAAACATAGTTTTGTCGAAGTAATTGTCGATTCGAATTAATTGAATGATTCAGATTGGAACTGTGAATTAAGAGTGCTCAACTGAATTGGACACACCTGAACAGTTATGGTTTGTTGATGACTTTACATTCAAAAAGTGAGTGACTAGCTTCTTGGGAGTCTATCGCAGAGAAGTGTAGTGAGTGAGCTGGAAATGTTATCGTACGAACAAAAATTTTAAGCAGTGACTACTACGGAGATGATGAATAAGAAACGGGACAATACAAACACGATAATATTGGCGGAATCCTTCATATTCTCTTTTAACAAGGCGAAGATAATTACTCAAGCGGATGGAGGAAGCATTTTGCGTTGACTCATTGCAGATTTAGTTGATTGACAATCCAAACTTCAATTCATTCACCCAAACGAACGAGTTCGATGATGCAACTGCTCTCGAAAGAAACACCGTATTGCTGATTTGCTTTGCAGTGAATCATTCTGATTTAATGTCGCTTGAATAACAAAGCCGTTGTTCAGAACAACGAGACTAAACGACCTCAATGGGCCAACACTCGATTCATTGGTTGTCAAAGAACAACGAGAGAGTAAACAA